TTTAGCTCCGCAGTTGCTGTGGACGTGGCCTGCCTCGGGCTGCTGCTCCGATATGGTGGAGCCGCGTCGGAGGGGAAACAGCCGGGAGGGTGTTTATCATTGTGAGGGTCCTCCGACCTGTGCTGCTGCCCAGGGGGTTAGGGCGCCTGGAGTTCCCTGGGATTCCCAGCTGCTGGGCTAAGTGTCCCGGGATGCTTCCGTCCAGCTGTGGGGTCCCTGTCCCTTTAAGACTTTCACAAAGCACTCGCTTTTCTTTGTCCCTGGGGTGCCGGCTGCGGGACCCACTCACAGGTCTTACTGTCCTGCTTCCCTAGTTTCCAGCACCCCATGCATGCACTGTGTCTGTGCTCTGGTGCAGATGGCTGGGGCTGGGTGTTCAGCAGTCCTGGGCTCCCTCCCCCTCCCTGCTGACTCCTCTCCTCCCGCCGGGAGCTGGGGGGAGGGGCGCTCAGGACCCGCCGGGCCGGGGCTTGTATCTTACCCCCTTCTTGAGGCGCTGGGTTCTTGCAGGTATGGATGTGGTCTGGCTGTTGTCCTGTGTCCTCTGGTCTCTCTTTTAGGAAGAGTTGTCTTTGTTGTATTTTCAAAAATATATATGGTTTTGGGAGGAGATTCCCATTGTCCTACTCACACTGCCATCTTGGCTCCGTCCCTCTTCTTTTTTTTTTTAGTCCAAAAAACACTAAGTATAGCAAGCTATTTAAAAACAGTATAAGAAATAGACATTTTAAAAAGTAAGATTTTGCATTAATAATGATTCTTTTAAGATTTTAAAGATAATTACTAATGAACAATCTTAAATGACAAATAAATATGCCTGAACAACGAATTAAATGTCTTTACAAGGAACATTTAAAGCAGTCTTTTGGCCTCCATTTTCATGGAATATTTTTTCCATTTCACTTTCAGTCTGGTGTCCTTACATCTCTGAAGTCTGTTTTAGGGGGACATATAGATGGGTCTTTTTTTTTAATGCATTCAGCCAGTCTGTGTCTCTTGACTGGAGAATTTAGTCCATTTATATTTAAATTAAATCTTGTAGTTGTGTGTTTATTGTTATTTTGTTATTTCTTGTTTTGTAATTCCTATGTCTTTCTCTTGTTATCTTCTTTGGGATTTGATCATTTTCTATAGCAGTGTGCTTAGACTCCTTATTCTATCTTGTGTATCTGTTACAGATTTCTGCTTTGTGGTTACCATGAGACTTATCTAAAACAGCTTCCTTATAAATAAGTCTATTTTAAGTTGGTAACAGCTTAAGTTTGAATGCATTCTAAAGCTCTACAATTTTTACTGTCTCCTGTATTAACTTTTTGATGTTACTATTCAGATATCTTGTATATACCTTGAGAAATTGTAGTTATTTTTAGTCCTTTTGTATTTTAACCTTCATACTAACTTTATAAGTGATTAATCCCTACCTTTACTATGTATTCACATTTAGGGAGACTTATTCTTCTGTGTTTTCTTGTTAGGAATTGGAGCCTTCTTTCCATTTTAGATAAGTTCCTTTCACATTTCTTGTTAGGCTACTTTAGCGGTGATGCACTCACTTCCCTTTTGCTCATTTACGAAACTCCTTATCTTTCCAAATCTGAATAAATTTGCTGGGCAGCATATTCCTGGTTGGAAGTGTGTGTTTGTTTCCCAAACTTGGATAAATCTTGCCATTCCCTTCTGGCCTGCAAAGTTTCTGATGAAAATTTTGCTGTTAGTTTTATGGGGTTTTCCTTGTGCAAAATAAGTTGTTTCTCTTTCCTGCTTTAAAGATTCTTTCCTTGTCTTTCGCTTCTGACATGTCAATCATGTGTCTTGGTATGGATCCCTTTGGATTATTTGAGACTCTCTGGACTCCTTAGATCTGGCGGTCTGTACCTTCCCCAGGTTAGGGAAGTTTTCAGTCATTATTGCTTCAAATGTTTTCTGTCCATTTCTTTCCATCTGGGACCTGTATATATGATTGTGGTTTACTTGATATTTTCCCATAAGTCCTTCAATCTGTCTTCACTCAACTCATTTTTTCTTTTTGTTGCTCTGACTGAATTCTTCTGCCCTGAGTCACTGGTCCTTTCTTCTGTCCATCTAGTCTGCTGTTGAAACCCTCTATGTGTTTCTCAGTTCACTTATTGTGTCCTGTAGAATTGCGATGTCTGTTTGCTCCTTTCTTACATTCTCTGTTGAAATTTTTACTTTGTTCATCAGTTGTTCTTTTGAGCTTGGTGAGCATCTTTAGGACCATTTTTTAAATTTTTCATCAGGTAGATCACTTATTTCCATGTCATTGATGTCTTTTTCTGAGGTTTAGCTTTTTCTTTTCTTTGGAATGTATTCTTATATTCATTTTTTCTGACACTGTGTTGGTTTCCCTGGGTGAGGTAAAACAGCCCCCTCTCCTAGTTTGAAAGAGTGGCTTCATGTAGTGGGCGAACTTTGTCATCCGACCCTGCCCGAGCTCCCGTCTCTGTGATCGTCCAAGCGCCCCACTTCAGCCTGAGTGTCCCCTGGCAGCCGAGAGTGTGCCAAGGCACGTCCGCCAGAGAGGCGACCTCAGTCAGCACCCAGACTCAGGCAGCAGCTCTGAAGCGTGCACACACCCCTGTTAAGGGCACAGCTGCAGGGGGGGTGTTTCTGCCTGCTGCCTTTGCCCTGAGCCCTGGGGTTGTGGCTACTTAAGAGCTGTTTGCTACCAGCCTGTTGAACCTAATGCACACATGCTTCACTGGCCAGGGCCAGACTACCAAGGGACGCTAACAGAAAGACGACTGGGGGCACGTTTCAATGTGCTGTGCCTGGAGTAGTAGCTGGTGAGCTGTTCCAGTTCCAGGCCTGTGGACCTGTGAGTGGAAGCCCTGCTGGACACCGTAGCTCTCAAGGGTGGCGGTCACACAACCAGGGTGTCCCGGGTGCACTTGGTTCTCTGGGGGAGGTCCTGGTGACCTCCAGTGTGGCAGAGGATGAGCACAGAGATGGTGCCCACCAGCCTGGCTGGTCATTTCAGTAGACCCCTTGATGTGTGTTCCCGCAGATGCCTGCTCCACGGGCTAAAGCTGGGAGACGAGTAGACGGGCCTCTTCCCGACGACGCGGGTACTTTCAGCAGCCGCCTCTGGAGTGGGTGACGCATGTGAGCCCTTAAAACCCTTTCTCAGATGGCTGTAGAGCTGTGGGGCCTCTGCATGGAAGGCCTGTTGTTGGCTTTCAAAGGTACATGTTTTGGGGCCTCATCTCTCAGGTGCAGGTCTTTAAAGTTGGGCTGCCCAATGTGGGGTTCAAGCCCTTTACTCCTTGGGAGAAGCTTGGGGTCCTGAGTCTCCCCCATTGTGGTGTCGGGTGGGCTTTGTGGTGAGCTGGGTCCTCTCTCCTGCCCGCCCACTGCTTCTCGTGTGCTGCTGTGCAGAGCTTCTTCCACAGCTGAGCCTTGGGTCGCGTGCACAGACTGTTCTGTATGTAGCTGTGGATTTGATGTGTCTGTGGGAGCTGTGTTTAGGACATTTAATTTCTAAGAGGGGATGTGGCATGTGGCTACACAATTCTTTCCCCATGAGGCTGCACCGCAGCCAGTGCGGCCTGAAGCCCGCTTAGGGAGGCAGCGCTCTCGGGCGGCTCTCGGCATTCTCCCCTTCTGCAGGGCACACACTTCTTGGCTGTCCCATCAAATGCAAGGCTAGGAGCTGCTCTGAAGGGATTTTGCATGATTAGGTCACAAGTCAGATGATTTTAAGAGACTATCTAGCGGTGCCTGACCCACTTGGGTGATCCCTTAAAATGCACTGGGCTCTTCATGACAAGAGATTAAAATTAAAGCAGAAGAGGGATTTGTCCTGAAGAAGATTCTCATGGCTGCTTTTCAAGGATACTTGGCAAGGAATGCAGGTGGCCTGTAGGAGCCAAGTGGCCCCTAGCTGACAACCCAGTGAGACCCCTGTGTGCTAAGTGCAAGGAGCTGGGCCATCCCAGCCGCTGAGCTTGGAAGAGGACCCCAAGCACTAGGTAAGGACGTGCTGACTTCAGCTGGTATGGCTCAGGAACACAGCCACGTCCTGCACACCTGTGGGCTGGGAGCTAGTGAGTGAGTGTGTTACCAAAGTGACTGAATATTTTGCTTCACAAAATTGCAACTATTTTTGTTAAATATTTATTGATGTTAAAATCCACATTACACCAGCACAACAAATCCAAAGTAGTATAATATTTTTTCATAAATACAACATAAAAAGGTGGCAAATAATGCTCCTTAATCCCAAACCCAGCAAATTATTAGCAAAAAAATGAAAACACATTCCAAAAAATTTGGCAAGTCATAATTGTACACTATAGAAAGGTCCATGGGGACTGTGTACAGGTGGATTACATTCCATACTAGCAATGCATGTGTGTCACAGAAACTTGTACCACGTGTGTCAGACAACTGCCACCCAGTGTGCAAGCTTGTTAATCATTTAGAGCTTGGTCGGTGTTCTTACAGAGTAGAAGCAGTAATGTGATATACACGGGTCGGTACACAGATATAAAATCACTTAAAAAACTACATATTTAATGAGTAACTGAGCTAAGAGAGTTCAACTTTTCATTATAAATAATAAAAGATACATGTGTTTTGCATGAGGAATACAGTGTTTTCTTTTCATAGCAAAGTAAAGTACCATTACCATTAAAGCCTCACGTTTTATAATATTAGGCCAAAGTTGTTTTTTCTTCTTTTTAAAGTTTACTGGTTCCGACTTAAAACCATCAAGTCTGGTCAGAGTCAACTCAATCAATCAAGCTGGTGCAGAATCACATGCAGTCAAGAATCAGTGTTTGCCGAAATGCCATCACAACACTTGGAACCCAGCACCTTCTACAGTGAGGTCTCAGGGGGCAGGGAGGTGGGCTATTTTTCTGTCCACCCTATCTGGTGCCACTGAAAAGAAAACCCTGTGGCACACACCTGCTGTGGCCGAGTCCCTGTGCCCCCCGAGCAGACTAGATCTGCAGGCAGTCTCTCACGCACGCACTCTCGCAGTCGCAGTCTGTTTTCAACTTGCTCCACACATTGAACGTCTCCAGCTGCTACAGACCTCAGACATGCTGAGGTTCCCGGGGCACCTGTGTGCCAGACTCCCAGCTGACCCTGGATTCCCTGACTTTTGAATGGCAGTGTTTTTTCACTTACATTTTAGGCTAATCCTGAAGCCCACCAAGGAGAAGCCTGTCCTTTACCAGGTCCCCTGCCCCTTCTGTGGTGTCTGAGTGGCAGCTTCCTTCCCCTGCCCCTTTCCAAACCTGCTTCCTCCAGATACGGTGCACCTTCTGTGGAATGGACTGTAATACAGCTCTGCTTTGCACAGAATTCTTTATATTATTTATATTTAAGTTAGCCTCCTCATATGGTTTGTAAATAAGCTTCCTGCCAAGGTAGCATGAACAGAAAATCCTACACATAAAGAAAAGAGGTTAAAAGAACTAAGACACTAACCTGTTGGAGAACCCTTGGTGTTAATAAAATTTAAGGCTAGTAATTCCTTTCTCCTGAATTAGACAGTCTGCCAAGACAAGGCGTTTGCTTGGGTTTCTGTCATTCTGCTTGCTTCTCACCCTGTGTATTGCCCTCGGCCAGCAGCGGTGGTCTGCACGCGATGCCAGTCCGGCGCAGCTGCCGCCTCGGGATCGTTCCCCGGAAACACGCGACGAACACCAACAGCCAGTGGCTAAAGGCACGTCAGGTGAGACGGATCCTGGTTGCCTTTGATCAACTGATTTCTTCAGCATTTTAGCATTTCAGACACTTTAATTACAGCAACTCCGTAAGTTGTAAATTGGACGATGAATGTGAATCTTCTGTGCAATGTGTACATTTCTGTTAGATCGCCTACTTAAACTCTAAAAAAAAAATATTTTTGTGTTTTTTCTTTCTTATAGTCAAAGGCACGTCTTTGCCTTTTACGTGACACGGCAGAGGAGCCGGTGGTGGGGGCCATGGCGGCTGCGTGGTCCAGGCCCCCCTGGGGGGCGGGGTCACAGGTCCTCGCTCTCCACCAGCCCGGCGTTCAGCGCCAGGTGGGACGGGCTGGCTTCGGGCTGGAACGCTGCCCTGATATCCAGCCCCTGGTCCGAAAGTGCCGCGTAGCGACTGGCTGAGGGCCGGACTTTCTTTGGCCTGGTGCTCTGCGGCTGCTGATGCCACTGGGCTAAAAAAAAAAAATTTTGTTTTTAACCCAGATGTAATTGGAAAGTGCTCAGGTACTTCCCGTACAGAAATGTCTCTTGTGGCATGTTTGACGCATGTGCTCTTCATGAAAGACTGAGTGTGTCCATGGTAGGGGCATTCACACGCTACAGATGTGCTGTCCCCACAGGGTGGTGGGACTGTAACAGATGATAAGGACAGAGTGTGGTTTATCTGAGAGTACGTGCTCACTGCAGAGAGGAGGCCGGTGGAATGGTTCCTAAGCTTCCTAAGGCCCACCCCACCCTTTAAAAAAAAATCGCCAGAGCTTCCAGCATGTAAGTGCCGCAGTGGCGTGGTCCAGTGTCTGGATGGGTTCACACTGACCAGCTGAGCTGGGCAGCAGGGAAGCTGAGGGCGCTCAGGCCTTAAGGAGCTTACAAGTGATTTTTTTAAGAGGTAAAATTTGAAGTCAGTTCTTGATTTTTCTCTGGTTTTATGTCAACAGATCATGGAATGCTATCAATAGGATGAGTTTCTGAAAGTTGGATGCATGTACACAAAGACACACGCGCACACGCAGACCTACTGCTGAGCTGCGTAAGCTGGGTTAGCAGCAAGACACTGAGCCACAGCAAGGACACACGCCTCGAGTGTGTTAGGAACCGCGGCAGGTGCACACTGGAGGAAGGGTTAGGTGGTCGTCCGCGGGACATGGGACAAGGAACTGAGAAAAACCAGGCCAGGCCTTTGCCAGCTGTTAGCCATAAGGACGCCTGGGTAAGGAAGCCAGCTGGCTAGCCAGTCATGTGAGAGGAATCAACATGCGTATTTTGCTAATAATGCAAAGTTCCTGAAGGTACTTGGGTGTTTGTTCTCCTGGTGTAGTTCACTATTAATGTTGAGAAACTATAAATAGAAAGAGAAAGAGCAACATGAAATTTTTAGCAAATAAAACAAGGTCATATAAAAGTGACGTGACTTGCTGTCCAGAGTCTCAGTCGATAAATGCAGCGAGGCAATATGGGGTGGGATCGGGATAGGATGGCACTCACTGTGAACATCCAGCCTGGCGGTACAGGATGCGATCCCTGCTTCGTTCTTGGCCGACACCGTGTACCACCCGGCATCCTCCCGCGTGGCCCCCTGGATGAGCAGGCAGAGGGAGCCGCGGCTGTCCTGGTGCATGCTGCAGGGAAGACAGGGCCGTCTGGGGCTCACTTTGCAAAAGGGGCCCTGCACACCAAGTGTCATTTGTACTGATCGTTAGAAACAGAACTGTGCAAGTAGCTGATATTCGGGTCATACTTACTCTGGAGGCGAGCTCCACTAAGGAGCCTGGGGGAGAAAGGCAGATGTCAAGCGGTTGAATGAACTGTACACTGAATTTCTATTTGAGGACCAGCCTTTACAAAAACCACTGAATAGTTTCTCTACCACCAGTGAAGCGAATGAATTTACCTTTAGAGGTGAAGCACATTCTGACTTAAGTCTAATGGTGGTTTTTTTAAGTGTTTGTCACACGCCGGTGCACCTTCCAAAACCCTAACGGGACATTAGGGTAAAGAGGGGTTTTGTCTTTGACACAGCAGCAGCTCTTAGATGCACAGCTGCGCCGGCTCTTGGGCATCTTGTTTATCAGCAGGGCCTCTGGAGCAGGCGTGGGTCAGGGCAGGTCACTATGTGCTCACCTCACGCGGTCAGTGCTCTGGGTGAGTGACTCGTTTTCTTTCTTCCAAAATATCTGCGGCGGAGGCACTCCCAACACACGGCACTCCAGTCGCACTGGGTACCCGTCAGCAACGCCTGTGTTCTGCAGCTTCTCAATGAACACAGGGGGTTTGTGCGCTTCTTTAGCTGGGGAAACATGAGATGAATTATCTGTCGGTGCCACACAAACGGAGCTAAAAGAAGAATCCAGGAGGTTTTAGAGCTGCTGCTCCATGGATCTTTTACTTTACAGTGCCATTTTTCACTTCATGCAGTAAGATGTCCTAATTATTCTTTTACCAAGAAAGGTTCCTGAATGTCACTCCACTCAGTTATTTCCTCAATCGACCCAAGTCTGACAGGCCCACAGTCCACAGAATGCTTGACAGGCTGCACAGCACCCTAATTCAGTGTCAGCGTGGGACGGTGGCATGACTGACTGTGTATTGTGCACCCAGCCTTCACCAGCCACCACCACCTACACCTAGTGATGCTGAGGACAAGCGTTCTAGGAAATCCGTCTGCTTAAGAGTCCCTCCTGCCGCCTGAGATGTTTGCTGCCATAGGATTTAAAGGGGGACATAAAGGGAGGGCATTTTTATCTAAATCTGGCAGCTTTAAATAGTTACCCATAAAGTAGAGCTATTTATCTTATAAATTCCAATTTGTATTCTCTGAAGGAGGCTATAAAAAAGACAACTTTTATTACTCAGTCTTAAAAATCAGACCTATTAGTTAACAAGTCTTAATATTACTACTGAATGAGAAACTTTTTTCTTGGATCCGTAGCGGAAACAATTTCAGAGAAAGAACAAGGCTCATTGTCTCCTGAGCCACCCACAGTGTCTGAGGACTGGCATCTTCCCCCCCCCCGCCCCAGGGGGCAGAGCAGAAGAGCAGGAGAGCAGGAGAGGTGAACAAGGTAAAAATTCTACCTGAAATTTTCATATACCCAAGACTCTCAAAGATCTTGAACTATGGAGAGGGTTTATTTTTATTGGGCTTTACATGATCACCTGGTCTCAGGTATTTTGGGGGAAGTAAGAACAGACCTCACTTTAGTATTTGTTCTGGGCCCATTTTGAAAAGAGTGTGGAATGCTGGTTCCCGGAGCTCGCGCTGCCGTGGCTCTTTCCCTCGGTGGGAACGCGGCCCTACACACACTCACACAAGGGCCAGAATGACCCAGAAGAGCTGCTAAAATCCTAAAGCAAAGACAGATAATGAAAAATTCCACTGAAGAAAAATTAATGTTTCTGATTTGCTGTAAGCCTTATAACATGTCCTAATTGGCTATTTGTTGATGATGCGACCTATTTGTTCAGTATTTATTTTTCACATTGGCTGTTACTGCACTTCTAAATCTGGTGTTCATTTAGGGAGAAAAAGGATTCAGAGACGAGCCTACCGGCAACTACCAGCTCCAGGCTGAATGAGTTCTGTCCCGCTCGGCTGGTGGCGGTGCACGTGTAGATGCCAGCGTCGCGCGATGTGACCGGCTCTATGATCAGCGAGTGCACCCCGTTCTCACGCACGAGCATCTTGTGGGCGCTGTCGGGGCAGATGGGCTTCCCGTCGAGCTGCCAGCTCAGCTCCGGGGTTGGTAACCCACTGACCTAAGCCAGAAAGGAAACATGTAAATTTTTCTAGTATTAAAACCATGAAACAATTAACAGCTAAGAAACTGGCATGAATTCCTCATGGGCACTACGGACTCACTTCTAAACATCTTACAGAGCAACCTGCAGAAAAGTGAAACGGGGGTGTAAAAGCTTCTGTCGTCATCTCCCCCGGGGTCATAAGGTCTGTGGGATGGTGTCGCCGAGGGCGCTGGGCTCTGCAGAGAGGGACCTGGGCACAGCAACACACACGCCGCGGTCGGCGCGGGGCCGCCCCGGCCTGGGGACGGGAGTCAGCACGCCCTTCGGTGCACACGTCTGCTGTCGTTGCACACACTTGAGACCAAGTGACGGGAGCGACACAAAGTACCCAGGGAGCCTGACGTCAGCACTGGTCGGCGCACGGGTCGCTCGGGGCACAGCCGCCTGTGAACTCCTCGGCTTTGGCTCGACCCTGCATGGGGAGGCGGGCGCCGCCGAGGTAGCCTTCCGCCCCCGCCGCCTTGGGTCGAGAGCTCCCGAGGCCCTTCCTGTCACGTGACACGCCCCTCGCCGGCAGACGCCCCTCCACACCTTCCTGTCACGTGACACACACCCGCCGATACAGGCGCTTCCCCCACACGCGTGGCAAAGGCGTAGAGAATTTGAAGGAAGAAAATGAGGCAAAACTAGACGACTGGTTAAAAGGAAGACACTTGGAAGTGGCAGCATCTGGGCAGCGCGGCTTCTGAGGGCATCAGTGGGGGGGTGCAGGGCCTCCGGGGGGCCTGGAGGGTGCGGGCGGTTCTGGCCAGGCCTCTCCCAGGCCCCGAGGTTGGCCCCCCCACTGGTGCCCCACGCCACGCACCCCAGGTGTTTCCCTGGCCCTCCGGGTATCAGGAACTCGGGGTCGGCACAGGCGGTCGTGATTCGGACAGGGCCACGTGCTCAGCTGACACGGAAACGGGAGGGACAAGAGCACACTTGTCACTCCCGGTGCGAGAGCCGTTCCCAGACTCAGGACCAGGGCACACAGGGCGGGGCCGTCTAGGGAGGCGCCGGTGCAGAAAAGGGGGGCGCTTTCTGGGGAGAAAACCTCGCTGTTGCTTGTGTGATCACAAGTAGAGCTAACATTATGTTACTCTCCATATATCCTCCATCCAGATTTACTTTTACGTTTTTTTACACTTTTTAAAAAGAGATCCTAGACTTATATAATTTTAAACTTCTATGACTTAGTGTGGTTCTTAAAAATATAGAATTTTCTTACATGATCAAAATCCCATCTAAAATTTCCTACTGACTCCAGTGGCATTTTACAGGTGGTCTATATGAATTACTATGGACCAAAAATACACACACATAAATTCACACATACTGAAACTCAGCTTGTGTGTGTGCTTTTATACTGTAAAAAGAATTACGCTGGAAAATAAAAGTTTAAGAATACATTTTTTAAAATATAGATTTCTACAAACCCATATTTAATCCTCTAAGCGCCTTACAGTTGTGTTCTGTATTCCCAGAGAGAACCAGCAGAGGGAGCCCAAATAATTTCAATAACCTGATCAATACGTAAGAGGTAAAATTTAAGATCAATCATAATAGTCAAAACAACAAAAAAGATCAATCATAATAGAGTAAAAACAACAAAAATTTCAGTGGTCCGTAAACATGTTTGGCCTCAAGCTCTCTGAGAAACAGAACGCCCCCCCCTCCTGCCCCCCGCGCAGGTCAGTGAATTCAGCAAGCACCCCTGAGGGCGGACCTGGGGTGGGCGGCCTGCTGGAGGGAGGCTGCCAGGCTGATTCCACTTAGAAAGTGCTCCGTGGGGGGGCGGGTAGGGATCAACGTCAGAGTGGACACATGCATACAAAATGTGTATGAAAAAAGATCAACAAATGAATGCCTAGGACATAACAGGTTCAGAATATTTACTACTTCAATGAAACAGAATGCTTAGAGGATGAAGCCTGGCAGGGACTCAGGGCATGTGGCTCAAAGTAAGACATACTTAATACGAGCTGAAAAGTAAAGGAAAAGAAGGATCTAAATTAGTGTGTAAACATCCTGTGTATTTCACTCATTTTTTTCCTCTAAGCTGGAAAACATTTTAAAAGACGTGCACTTCCCACAACCTCCCCGAAGGGCCCACTGGGGGCAGCGGCAGGGAGGGAGGCCACAGGCCAAGGCGCCAGCCGCTCTTACTTTGCAGTCCATCCTGCAGAGCTTTCCTTCCTGAACCGTCAGGTCTCCGGGCGCTTGTAGGAAGTGAGGCCTGAAGAACCGCTCCTGAACCGGCTCGCTTTCATCTCCACTGTCCCTTGATCGAGAACGAGGCCTTAAGACGGGACAGATGATAAATGCACAGAAGGATAAGGGAAGGGCAGGGAAGGAGAGGGGGAAAGAAGGAAGTTATTTCCAGGCTTTTTAGTCATCTGTTTTTTTCATAATACGTGTGGTGAAAATATAATTTCCTTACCTGACTCCTACTTCCAAGGTTTACACATAAAAATGTCAGAAAAGCAAAATCTTGTTTCATTTGGATGTTTATCATAAACTTAATAGTCTGCTAATTGCAGATCTTAATTCCACTGTCCTAATCCTTGAAGCTAGTATAAATAAATCATAAAAGGGCAAATGGGAAAAAACAGGGTACTGTATACTAGCCTTTTTTTCTCTAAATATTTTTAAAGCTGTATGAGAAGTAGCAGCTGTTGCTTATTACCAAATCTTTTCAACAGAAATTATAACTTTCCAGTATGACTTTAAACTTACAGGAAATTGAAAGTTATTATTTTGTAAGAATCTAGTATCTTTCTAATCAAAATTCTTTTTCACATTAACCAGGAAAACAAATTACAGGTGCCTAGAGACACAGTTTTTGGCTTTGAAGTAGAATTGTGAGAATCTCCCAGACTGCATCTCCCTTGCTTTTAAAGTATGTTGGCAGAGGTACATTGAAGAGCAATACAATTAAAGTAATCGCAGGGAAGACTTAAGAATAAAGAATGAAATGTTGAATACAAATTTGCCACTAATCACTAAAAGTAAGTTTAAGACACTTAAGCAGAAGAAGCAAGGGAGAGCAAATGAAAGACTGGTGTGACAGGCTGGCAATTGTCAGCTTTTTCACAAAGTTTACCCTTCTCCGAGGACAGCCCTGATTTATGAGCCGAATGCTTTTCCAGCAGACACAGAGGGGGACTCTGGAATGCCCTGCGCCCACGGGAAGAGCTGGAGGAAACCAAGAGGCGTGTGCTTACAGCCACAGACACGGCCGCGAGTTAGAATCTCACCCGCACACTCAGGGGCCAGATCTGTCTTCCAAATGCCAAACCAAGGGTCCTGCGGACCCCGTCACATGAGGGGTGCAGGCACCCCGTTTGCGCAGTGCTGCCGCATCTTCCCTGCCTGCCCTCCGGGGCCCTAAGTCAGCACTTGCACACCCAGCTGGTATCCCGGTTTGGTCCGAGGCAGCCGCATAAAGGAAGTATCGCGGGAAAGCGAGTCAAATGCCTTTTTCGGTCACCCAGCGCATAAGCAAATACATCTGCAGCAAGGTGTGTACACCCCTCTGCAGTCTGGTAAGTGTGCAACAGCATCGTGTCTGAGACTACAGTGTATGCTCCTCGGGAAATACTCTGTTGCTACAAAAAGCTGGCCATCCTCCGAGCTTTTGGCAAGTCACACTCACTCATCACAGGTCGTAACAAGATCAGCAGTAAGGAAAAGCCTGACATGTTCCGAGGGGTGGCAGTGACGCGCAGCGAGCAGCTGCAGCTGGGAGGGGGTGACGGCAGACCTGCGGGAGGCCGCCGTGACCCTCAGGTCTGTGCGGTGCACAGAGCCAAGGTGTCTGCATCTGCGACCCCACGCTCCTGGCCTGCACTACTCGGGCACGATGTCTCCAATACCTATGGTCGACTTACCATATTCTTTCCCAAGTGCAAATATGTCACCACGACATAACACTTCCCCCCTCCCTCCGCCCACTGTTATTCCACCAGCATCCTTGCAATGGTGTATAGCACACTCCACACTGCTGGCGGGCGTTTGTCGAGCATTTAACATTTTTAAATATGACAAACCTTACCTACAAGATTATGGTGTAAAAGTGTTTTGGACTGACTGAAAAATGAATATTGAAAAATTAGCTGATTTAGGAATCTGTGGCAGTAGTTTATAGCAGTCAGTCCATACAGCTGTTGGTTAGAGAAGTTAGTGTACCATTTATCAGTATTTTCACGATGTGCTGAGTCTTGATTTCTTCATAAAGAAACCGGGTCCTATTTAACAAATCAGGGGTGGTGTATCTTTCTGAATGGCAAAGGAACATTGCCAGCAAGGATCCGTACACTCTGTACACTTTAAGATGTATTCACATTCTGTCTTCCAATTATGTTCCCTTTTGTGGTCACACCATGATTCTTCTAATGTTGAATTTATAGCAGTGATATAATAACAGTGCACAGACGGGAAGGAACATTTGCGATACCTTCTGACATGGGGATGGCCGGAGGGGCTGCGGGGACTACGGCCTCTCTGGTGGACGGCCTGGACCATCAGCCGCCCGGTGCAGCTGATGCGACCCTGTCAGAGAGAGCAGGAAAAGAAGTCACTTAGTTTGCACAGCTGACCACCGTGCACTGTCACGTCCACTGTCCTGTTCTCCACATAGCTGCTGACTGGTCAGCGCGTCAGAGGAGCGCAGACGCAGACCCCTCAGAAACGTGATTCCCTGAGTTAAACTCCTCAGAAAAACTGTTGAAAGAAATTGAGTGCCAAAGCTTTTCTCTGAACTGTTACAGAAAGTTTGTTTATCTAGGATGGCATTTAAAATGTGTGTAAAATGACGAATTATACACACATGGACGCCCGTCAGTTTGTTTCCAGGCCCTGCACTCCGGGACTCCGGGCAGTGTCCTCCGGAGGTGCACTTGGCATGAGGCCGCCTCTGCCTCCCTTCAGTGTCCCTCCCATGCCTCCGCTCCCCTCAGGGCCCTCAGCCCAGCTGGGCCCCAGACGCCTGCACGGGGTGCGCCTCAGCTCTGGGTCGTCCCTGATGGGAGAGTGACTTAGCCTCCTCACAGGTACACTAGGACTGCAGAGTCAGCCCTGCGTGGGCTCCCGCCGAGACTGAGTTAACAGGTACTTGGCATTGTGTTCTGCACACAAAGCTCAAGATGGCAGCAGTGACCACGGACATGCTAACAATGAGATGGGTATGAAAGGGCCCCCCCAGAATGGCTTTGTTCACGTGTTTTTCTCCCTGTGTACAGGGGCTGTTTTTTTGTCTTAGGATGTAATTTACTCCAAAGGAGAAGCAGCAAAATACTTTTGCCCAGTAGGCAGAGTATGTGACAAGTAGAGCCATCGATTTAGCTTACGCTAGTGCCTGAAAGGTGCCAGGCACACAGGTATAGTCAGTCTGTTGTCCGAGGTGAGAGATGCCCGACTCGACTCTAAGCACTTCCCTGGGCTCCATGTAAACGGCCTCCTCTCCTCTCCAAGCAGGGTAATCGGCTGGCCTTTACTCTAACAATTGCACATTTCTGCAGTGTTTTCAGAATTTTTACTGCTACTGCTTAGAATCATATATTGCCCTAGAACATCCCCAAATTTTATATCATTCATCACCTCTTATGTGCACACCATCCTTCACAGACACCCTTTGTGTCTGAACATGAAGGGGAAAGGTGTGATCTTCAGGAGGCAGAGCTATCAGTTTGATGATGTAGTGTTGCTGGTTAGATATAGTGCTGATCAGTAAGTGACTAGGAGCGTTTAGAAAGTGTCCAAACTAATAAGTTATGTAATTTTGACATTTTTATTTGAAAAAGAAAATCTAGAATTAAATGAGGCATTTTTGAAAAGATGCCTCCAATGTGTACAATTGAAAGTTCAGATTTTTAAGTTGAATGTCTGATTTAAGAGGAAGATCACAAAAATCTAGCATTAATTTTAATCAAACTAATGTGCCAATCAACCCTAGTAATCATGGGATTAGCGGTCATCTCTGATGCACATTCATGCTGTCAAATCTGCCCTCAGCATCTCGTTTCCACCTTCTTCATCATCAACACATGATGAAGTCATAATGGGAGTAGGTTTAAAGCGAAGCTTGAAATGAGCCAGGAAGCCTTGTAACACTGAAACAAAACACGATCAACAAACCAACTTTTAAAATATAACTCAGCTGTGTTACTTTTCTATTCCAAACAATGCCAGAGTGTAAAGCTGTAGTAATAAGTCTGAATCTTAACGTGATTCTGTATTAAATATACAGCTTGTAAAGATTGTTTGAGGCCTCCTGCAAGGCCAGTTATTTATATACTATGGAGATGACGTTTGTATTCCCTGCTTATGGAATCTCACTGCCGCACAGGGGGCCTTGTAAAAGCTCACCGCCAGTACACACGGTGCGGCTGAGGGAACGCCAGACTGGACAGCACCCCGCAGGCCAGGGGCTCACAGACAGTGCCGGGTGGCTCAGCAACACGACACAGACACAGACACAGACACGGCGCAGACCCCCGTCCGGGTGGAGCTGTGCCCCAGGACTGGAGCCTGGCTGTATCCGGGCCCCTCCTCCTGGCACAGTCACGTCTTGTCCTGCAGACTGTGGGACTGAGTGGGTCCCTCACAGCCGCCGGGGCGGCTAGAGTCACACACTCTGTCCTGAGCAGAATCCAGGTGTGGCCGACAGTGTCTAACGTGGCTCCTCCTCCCGAAGATCAGCCCCGGCGGGATGTGCGCGTTTCTCTCTCCGCAGTGCCCACCCTTCGCCCAGCCGCTTCCTGTTGGCACTGCTGCTCAGGAAAGCTCTGCCATCCATTTCATAACTGAACCGATTTCCATTGTGGCCTTTTCCTCTCTGCCCTGGTCACTTCACATCACACAGGCTACAGCGCACCAGAAAAAACAGACATACCTATCTCCCTTTCAAACCCAAATACTTTTAAAATGTGGAAAAAACCTTAAGGTAACCAAAAGGCAACATCAGGGAAGTGGGGGTCAACTTCAGTCCTCCACTGACTGTATATTACACTTTGGGGTTTAATCTTGAAAAATTTAGCTTTTACTTTTTTCAGTCATCACCTACTTAGATCATGCTTCTTTTAATTGTGTGTTAATTCACAAATTACAGGAATGCAAGGACTCATGTCCAGTAGCATGTCACAAAGCCGAGACGGTGACAGACGACAGTAAGACGCTTCTATTGTGGTGTTCTGCAGCGGATGGCGGCCGCAGGGAAGGTCAGGCCACAGGAATCTGAGGTCACTGCGTCCTCCCAACAGGCAGTGCAGCATATCCCACTCTCAGGTGATGGCCCCCAAAACCTGCATCGGTGAGTCTGCACGTGCCAGCCTGGGAAGAGCCCTGGGCAGAGCAGTTTTACCCCTGCGGTCAGAATCACCCGGCAAGGGGCTGAAGGCCGCAGTTCTCTCTCAGCCACTTCAGGCTGGGGCCTCAGCTCTGGTTCCCCGTGCCTGTCTTTGGTTGTTTGGGGAGGAAAGGAGACTTTAGCCCCCATGCAGCGTCAGCAGACCTTGGGGGAGTCCCCCCGGTCCGGGGAACTGCTCTGGTCACCAGGCCCCTGGGGTGCTTTGTGCCTAGTGCAGACCAGGAGCCGTCCAGCCTCTGTGCCTGGGGCACAGGTGGGAAGCAGAGTTCGGCCAGCAGCATGGACAGGGTTACCCAGGAGGCTCGCACTGGGGGAGGCCCCGGCCACAGCCTCCAGCTCCCTCCCCGCAGGCCTGTGGCCGTGGCACAGCACGCTGGCTGCCAGCCTCCTTCCACCTTCCACCGGGATGGTGAAGAGGCAGGCCGGAGGTCAGAAGGCTCTCGTGTCCCGACAGCCATCAGGAACAGCGGGCGCTCTCAGCCGAGGCCCAGTCCCTGGGGTGGGTGCTCACTGAAGGCATATATGCCAGGTGAGCCGGGCACCTAACACGCCTTACTTAAGTCCATCTTATTACTCTCATTTCACAGAAGAGGCAACGGGAACAGAGAGGGTCAGTGACCTGCTCAAGGTCACACAGCTGGCAAGTGGCAGAGCTGGAACTCTAGGAGCGTGTGCTCCTCTCCCTAAGCTTCTGGCGTTTCGGGGTCATCAGAAGGGCTCTGTGACTCTGGCCCATCTTCACTGTCTCTCCTCTTCTGTTTACGGGGTTCTTCAGCAGCCCTCCTGTACGGAACGGCCACACTGTGGCTCGCCAATAGTTTAATTCTCAGAGCTGCTGATCCAGGCCCGGCCTCTGCCCTCGGCCATGGGCAGCGAGTCCTTCGCCGCCTAGCGCTTTCCCACATGTAAAGGACAACAGTATAATTTGAAGGGGACAAGCAGCAGACACATAATGCAGTTTTCCATTTATGTGCTTTTGTCCTATAAGCAGCTTACTCCAGAGAGTCTACAGTGTCTGTGGAAAATGCCTGGAAAACCGAGTCAGGATCCCTGCGGGTGAGCAGCGTCTATGGAACACGGGGAATTCCGTGGGCATCACGTGACCCGGCCCTCCTCGGTGAGGGTGGGTAAGGAACCCAGCCTCAGGAAAAGTTATGGATTTTGCTGAATTCTCCACTATTTTTTTAATAGTCAGAAAACTGAAATCAAAATTTGTTAATGATAGTCAAGGAAACATACTGAAAATATAATCAGGAAAAAAAGGCAAGTTCTACTTTTGTTACCTCAAATACACCAAACATGAACTCAAGGAAGCATTAAAATGTACCTTTTAGTAAAGGTGGTGATTCTGGCTACATTTCAAGGTGATGGTCGTGTATTCATGGACTGAAGAATTGGAGCCTCAAGGAGGCACGTTACTACGGAAACCCGCGGGCGGTGGGGAGCCTGCTGTGCCCGGGGCAGCCTGCGCTGCTGCAGAAGCGCACCTTTACCTGGCAGTGTAACACTGGGATGCGGTAAATGCTACACAAGTTTAGAGGTTAGCAAGCTTTGCTAAAAGTAGTCGTATTATTTTCTAAGGCAATAGTTCCTTCAAAATATAATGCAATATAGAATGATAAAATAGACCAGAGGCTTTCAAAACATGGCTCTGGACAATCTTCATTATTTATATAATAAAATTGTTAATTTTAGCTTCATTTCTGTAGAAGACTATGTTCTGTGCATGACTTCTGCTGATGTCATAAAATTACCATCACACACTGAACTCTGAGGGTCCAAGATCACTTCTGACTCATTTCTGCATCCCTGTACCCAACACAGTGCCTAAAATACACAAGGCACCCAATAAGGAAGCATCCGCAGGGTTGAGCTGGAACAAGTCACCAGTGGTGCTTATTAAATTCTAAGTAGCCAGCTGGCTTTCTGACCCTAAATCTAAGGTCAAATACAAGAGAAATCAGGGTGGAAACAAAAAGTCCTTAATGCTACACATAGGTGCTATCAAAGTTGTAATTTGTCTCTGCTTACACACTACGTAAGGCCCACTGATTTAGGTCTATTTCTTTCTTAAATATTGAGTTTTTCTACTGTAACATCTGTGTGCCACTTGCTATCCTTTTCTCCTTTTATTCCTTTGTAGGGCTTAATCCTATGTGAAATTTCTGTTACTTATGTTTTTGTTTAATGGCTTAGTTTCTGTCTCAGGACTCTGTCTGTTCACCCAGCACTTACGTAAGGGGTGTGTATATATATATTAGGCCCTCAATTTTATGTGCAGAAATATCCACATAGAAAAATACCTGATTTATGAAACAGAGAACTTTTCATTCTCTGAAATCAAGGTGGATGTAAAATTCGGGAAAAAGGTCTCAGGTCAAAGAAGTGTGACTCCACCTTTTAACTACATAGCTCCTCTGTCCAAATACACGCCTGGAGGCACTCGGCACAGAACTGAAGCAGTCCCGTGGCCCCGTTACCTGGGGGTTTGCGGCCATGATCGTGTAATTCCCATCATCATCGAGGGTGGAGGCCTCAGTACGCAGAGAACAGGTCCCATCTGGATCCCTCTGAACGGTATAGTGATCACTCTTAGGAGAGATCTGCTTCCCATCTTTGAACCAATAGATCTGTGGAAGGGGACAGAGATTAAGGACGTGCGCGGCGCTGCTCCGTCGGGGGGCCTGGCAAGTAATGATCGTGTGGCCTGCAGAGCTGATCTGAGTTTTCATGTTAAAGTGTCGAACAAAACACCTGAACAGGAAATTGCTTCTTCAGTGGAAAGAATAGGAAACAAATAAGTTTAATTCTATCATATTTTTTTAAATTATATATCCTCTATTTTTAAAAGTGATGTACCTACGTAGGCATTTACATACATGTGTCACGTGGAGGGAGCCACGTCGAATGTTGACAGTGATTATTTCTGACGTGGCTTTATAGGCACTTTTCTTTTTTGCTTCTATTGTCAAATGTACTGAATTAAAATTACTTCTAAAATAAAGGTAAAACTGAAAACTCTGATCATTCCACTGAATTGTGAGACAGAACTGGGTGGGGCAGAGGGAGGTAAGAGCGGAGGGCCTGGTGGGCAAACTCAACCACTTTCATTCTGGGTAAGGAGCATATGCCCAGAGGTTAGAAGGTTGTCGGCTCTCCCCACTGTGCTGGAGGAAACATAGTTATTTAAGCTTCTAATTATTTTCAAATAGTATTTTAACTTGGGTTGATAGAAAATCATGAAAATCAATTAAAACTTAAAATAAATCTTGATTAAGTAAACACTTTTAAAATGGTCAGAATACCTCTTCAGAGGGTTCTTCTGCCTTCCCTCACTTTTGAACAAAATCACTGTCCATGGGACCTAATTTGGTTATTATTTTTCACTTAGTTTAGGAATCTATCGCCAAAAGATAAGGCCGTCATCCTGAATCAGTTAACAGCTGAAACATGACCGGATGCTCACCGGGCGCCCCCTCCGCCTGCCCAGACCGCATGCCCGGGAACTAGACAAACGTCCCCCTTGGAAGTCACTGCAAGTCCTCTGCTGTCAATTCTGTTCCTTTCAGCCACGAGCATTTCTGATTCCTGACAGAAGAAACCTACTCTACAGCCTTCAGTTTTTAAAACCAACTTCTTCCTTCATGTAAATCAATCTCCAAATTGAGACCACAACTGGCATTCAAATGCAACTCCCTGTTGAAGGCTCTGAATCTGAAAAATATTTCTGAAACTTCGTCTCTAAGACGGGAAAAAGATAGGAGCATGTTGCCCTGAATAAATGCACCAGTCATCAGGCTGTGACTGCCGGGACTTTCCCAGTCCCTGTTCTTCAGTTAGCTCCCAATTTACAGAAACTGCAATTAATCTCAAGAACCTAAAAATTAACCATCAACTACACTATTAACTTCGAGTAGTAAACACAGAATTATACAAAGCCAGGTCCTTAGTAATCATCCTGCTCTTCTCAGTGGTTTGATTATTCCTGGTGCAACAAGAAGCGTGGGTAGCATAGTCTCTCTCTTTGGCATTCTCGCCGCCCTACCAGGTCTTCAAAATCATTGCGCTGTGTTGATCCTACTTTCTACTTGGGGCACAACTTTCAAATGAGAAGCCAGCAATAGTTTCACCCTCTTACCTACCGTGCTACCGGAGAGGGAAGGGGCACGGGAGAGCAGGTGGCTTACATGTGCTTTGCAGTCTTCTCATGTCTCAGAACAAGTATGCTAAGGGCAGAGTAATGTTTTAAAAAAAACATAAGCTAAAAATAGGATTTTAAAAAAACATGGTGGATATGCCATACTTTATAATTCTAATAAAATTCATACATGTACAGAAGAGATAGTTCTTCAGTAAACCGGGGGCGGGGGGGAGACAACGAACGGCAGTGAGGAAAAGGAGACGAGGAAGGAGGAATGGAAGAAAATCTAACAATAAAAAAGTCTAAAAAATTAAGCCTCTTAAAGCTGGAAAACATTTAAACTTGTGTCAGCAGTTATGTCAGGAACAATAGCCCTTCTTCCAAGTGGACATTGTTATTAGGACAGGAATCAGTGGCCTTAGAACTTGATCAACGACCTTATGCCTCGAGTAGGTTTAAAGATAACATGGGCTCTTTTGTGAATATTTTGGAAGTTCAAGATGTAGTTTCTCACTGAGTTTCATTCATAAGCTGCCAATTTTTTTAATGCATGCATGTGACATCATGTTTGTGAATACACAACAGTTACCCAAATAATGCCAAGAATATAGCAAGGAAATTTTCTCTAAGAACAGTTTATTGTTTTAAAAGTCCCATTTTATTAGGAGGTAGAAAAGGGTTTGAAAATTTAAGGCTATTTTCTTTGTCCTACCTTTTGGTTTTGGGGAAAGAATGTGATGGTAAACTTACCTCAGTGTGAAAGGCAGACAACACGGAGCACCAGGCGGGGCACCGGCGGGAGAGGCCCTGCCCCATGGCGCACGGCCGCTCTGCCTGGCAGAGCCTTCTCCCCCCAGCCTCGCAGCTTTGCATTTCAGCGAGTGTCGTGTGTGTGTGTGTGTGTGTGTGTGTGTGTGTGTGGCAGAGCCTTCTCCCCCCAGCCTCGCAGCTTTGCATTTCAGCGAGTGTCGTGTGTGTGTGTGTGTGTGTGTGTGTGTGCGCGCGCGCGCGCGCGCGTGTGTTACAGACCTGCCTCTGGTACCCACTCTCTCCTTCAGTCCTTTCAAGCTGGTTTCAGTCAGTTTAAGCATGGCTGCTCTGTGGCCTGCACTGTGCGGTGCCCAGGCTGCTGTTCCCCATTTCTCGTCAGTTTCCGTCCTGTAGACGCCTGACGGGGCCCAACTTTGTGAATGTGTCCAAGAGGGCAGTTTTTGCTCACTCCTGCTAGAAACCTAGGGGTGGTTTTAATGGTCCTGGACTAGATTTCATACTAATTTCTCAGCTTTGGCTCCGTGTCATGGCAGAGTGTAACTGGGAGCTTCAGCTTCTCATGGGTGCCTTTCAGTTCTTTTCTTTCAAGTTCCAGGGAAAAATGTGATCCTGTTCATGGCTTTGCCGGGCTAGTGAATAATAGTCATTCTAGCCTCCTGGTAAAGACAGGGCAGCTCTTTGCCCAGCACTCCCACCTGTCTGTAGGGGGAGGGCTCCCAGCTGAGGCAGCACCACAGGCCCTCAGGTCACCCCCTTTGTAAACACAGGAAGCCTCGGTTCTGTGGGTTAAAGATCTGTAGTTTTCATAGTGAGTGGTAAGAATTCTTCTCTGTATGGTACAGATCATGGGGTTCATATTCAAGCCTGGCCACTCACCAACTCTCTGACTTGGGGAAATTAATCAATCTCAGCTCAGGTTAGTTCCCTGTAACTTGGAGTAACAAGGGTAATGTCACACGCGTGCCCAGTGTGCACATAGCTCCTTGCCGATTATTCACCCAGAGTTAGTCCCCTGCCTTGTCCTGCTCTGTCCCCCAGAAAGGCAGGGCACCCCTTCCTCCCACACATGCTGTAGTTTGGGAGCTAAACTCTTCCTCAGAAAACATGAGTCTTAAAAAGCCATGTCTTTGGCTCACCTTTGGCTCTGGATTCCCGGTCACCCTGCAGGTGAAAGTCACTGGCATCCCTTCAAAGACCTTGTAGTGTCTCAGCTTCACCTCGAAGCCTGGAGCCGCCCCGTTCTCCACGGGCAGGGCGCCACACTGCGCCTCGTCGCCCGTCCCGTCCACAGGGCACCTTTCTAGCCGGTACTCGATCTCACTGATGAGCCTCTGTTCACAGCTGGAGACCTTGTACTCCTGGTAGACCAGAAAGGCCGTGTGAGCAGCCGCCGCCCGTGAGCCTGCCCCCCTGCAGGAAGGCCCCTGGGACGGGGACCGTTACTGCAGAGCTTACAGCCAGCCCAGCCCAACTCCGTATCGAACAAAACGTCTGACGTGAATGCATGTGATGTTTCAAGTGCCTTCAAGTCTATCATTCCCCACCCCACAAGAAGCTATGAAGATTGATTCTTTATTCTCTTGGGGAGAAAGGGAGAGGAAAGAAAACGGCCATGGTCATACATTCCTAAGCTATTCATGAAAATGAGATGGTGGACCCTGACTTCCTCTGTCGGGTGAAAGCTGATGAGGGTGCCTCTCCTTGGAAGGTGCCGGTGCCTGCGGTGAGCAGCCGGACCCTGAACACAGCCCTCAGCACGCGGATAACAGGGAGGAGGCGCCATGCTCTTTGCTGCTAACAGCCCTTTACACAGCCTCTGGGCACCTTTAGAGACAATTCTCCACCCTCTTTAAAAGAAAAACAGGAATGACAGTCCAGTCAAAATTTTGCTTGAAATATTAAAAACAAAGAACCCATCAACGTCCTATAGTGACCAAGGCCTCAACAAACGGAAATCTACAGTCCTCGTGCTTATGAGAAGAGTGGCAAGCCAGCCCGCTAAAAACATTCCTACTTTAGTATGCATAAAACTTCAAAAACACACAAGTTGTTTAATTATTGTCAAATTAGTCGGTTTGAGAAGTAGCACTTGTTCCCTTAGAAAGATATGTAACAAATGAGAAACTTTTCACGATTCAGTTTAGAGTATCCATTTCAAGTTCAAGAATCAAAATCAAGTTTGTAAATAAATGGTAAGAAAAATCACATCACAGTAGTCTTGCTCATGTGATAGTAAGTGAAAGCAGACACCGGGTACAGCGTTTATAGTCAGTTAGTATGCAGCAGCAAAGACACGTATACAGGCGAACAGGAGAAAACCGGCACAGGGAGCGCAGAGAGGAGGGAGGTGCGAGCTCGACCTTTTGGGCGCCCAGAGGACCGCCTACAGAAGCAGGAGGAGCCCCGACTTCCTGTAGGGGCAGAAACAGAGAGGTGAAGGCTGAGTACAGGAACAGTGAAGACTCCAGCAAGGTTCTAGTTTTCTTCATGTGAAACTATAATGGTAGCAGTATTTCACATAAAAACTTTCAGATTTTGAAGGCAGATCCATTTCTCGACAGACATGAGATTTATGTGACCCTTTAACCTTGATTCCAAAGCTTCCTTTAATCTTGAGACTGCATCTGGCGGTCCCACACACAGCAGAGGAGATTATAAACAGCTCACATCAAATTCATGAGGTGGCTGGTTTTGTGTGGTAGCAGGAGGACAAAAACAGCATTGTAGGCTTTTCTGCTGAGTGATTTATAACTGGACATGTAAGAAATTTAAAGACATAGGCTTTTCTGCATGGAGTTTTTTACTTTGACTAGATTTTAAGAATATATTGAAATATTTACTAGCTATTTCAAATACGAATTTTCAGTGCAAACATGTTTCTCCACACTGAACTATTCTGCATTAAAGCTGAGCATGGGGGAAACAGGAAGACACCTGAAGGAGAACAATGAGCCAGTCAGTAGGACGTCAGAACAGGTGCCAGTCACTGAGCGCCAGGCCTGTCCCGCGGTGCATGCGTCACAAACATCGGCCGAGGCTGCCCAATGGCGCTGCACAGCTCGTCTGTGACCTGCCCCCTCTCCCCTCCCCACCGTCAGCTCCCTGCTCACTGGGCGGATGTCCCGAGGCACGTTACCTGGCCGGTCGTCTCCTCTTCTGGTTCCTGAAGGTTAAAGACGGTCGCGCTGTCAGCACCTAGTAACCGACGGGCCATTCGTTCTTCGTAGGTTAATCTCTAAACAGGTAAGTAACAAAGAAGACAAAGTTAGAGAAATCACCATTATATGCTGCCTCATGACAAAAGAGTTTAAAGAAAAGAGTTTTGAGGTTTTCCGTATTTTCTCCCCACCTCCAGACACCTTCCATAAAAGCTGACTGAGGCTCTCCCTGCTTCAGCTGTCCTGGTTTTCACCTGCCCCTTCCGGCCCAGGGTCAGGAAATGGGGCAGCTATCTTGAGCGCCCCACTGACACAGCACGAATTCAGTGTGGGTATAACGAGCAGTGAGGTGGGAGCCCACAGAAAATACACATGACACACTTGTCCTCAATGGCAGACAGAGGAAGATATACTCAGACAGCAAAGTATTTACCAAGGAGGTGACACTTTCACAGCCACCCACAGGCTCCAGCACAAGCCAGGCAGCTCTGAGACTGATGGGAGATCTTAGGCCAGCGACAGTGACGGTCCTGTCTGCTCTGGGGCTTGGGGAGCGTGGAGGGGTGTCATCCCCTCCAGGCACTTGTTAGGCTGCGGTGTAACATGGCTGAATGTAGGCCAAGGTAATAATCCACAAAGAACGTCTGCACAGGGCTGAATTAGCAAAAGGACATGAAAGATACCTGCCAAGCTAGTACCCACCACTCATGCTCTACTCAGGGGCAGACTACAGGATGGTCAGGCAGAGAAGTGGTCCCGTTTTTGCATCTGGCAACCAGCACTTTGCATCTGGCCAAAACCATTTTTGCTAGGCTATTCTGGTATAAAAGAGACACCAACATTTTTTGTTCATTCTAAAATATTTTAGAATTATAGGTCTGGAAGGAGCTTTCAGAGACCATTTGCCCCAGCAGGTACATTTTACAAACAACTGTTTGATTCAAAATAGAAAACAATCTAAAAAAAAAATACAGAAGTTATTTCAGATAAACTTTCAAACTTCTGACTATAGATGCAAATTTTATTGGAAACTCTCTAATCAGGAAAATATGTTGGGTGAATTCACAGTTCCCAGTAATTGCTGGTTCTAGTCTCATCTGAAGCCGGGAAGTGAAATAGCCGAGTGCCAAATGACAAACAGCCCCAAAGCCAAACTCCTTCCCCTCGTGAAGAAGGGGTGTACGGGGCAGGCTCGGCTCAGGGGGTGTCTCAGTCCTGTATGCTGTCATTTAAATTACTTTTCTCACGTCTGTTAAAAAATCACTAAATTCCATTTTCAAAGACAGTCTGAAGTACCTGCTCTCTTAAAAGCCCCCCTAATGTTTTTGTGATGAACTGTGTCAACATCAAAGGGAGAACTGGAGTAATCTCCACCCTGTTCCTTCCAAGCAGAAGCATCGGTTTGGCACCTAGTCCTTCCCCAGAATGCAGCTGGTGCCACAGAAGCACCCACTTCACAGCTTCGTTTCCAACCACTGTGCCATGTGGATATGCAAACCCTGCCTTCAGGAGTCAAAAATAAGCGACAGAATAATATGGAACATTGGGAAATGGTTGTTTGAGAGTTCCAGTTTCTAAAAAGGGAAACCTTGTTTTTCTTGTCCTTTTAAACTCAAGTGTGGAAATCTGTGGAATTTACTGTGACTCATTCACTGCTAAACACACAAACATGAAAATATATATTCATATATAAAAGATAAATATGTAGCAGATACATATAAATGCACATACACATAGTTTGGCATAGTAACTTATAAAAGTCTTATTTAATCAAGAGAATCTTGGTCCATAAGGAATATTTAAAAAAAGAATGGGACTGGAAAGATGCCTTTACCTGGCTTACAAGTTCCATAAGTATTTGTTGTAATCTTTCAAGGGCTTCAGTTGACAGCCAGGGAAAACTTCCAGAGTATGTGCATTCACACATGCAATCACTTATTTCAGGGAGAAATATTTCCCTGTTGTGAAAATCTTCTATTCTCAGAGAATGAACGTGAGATCTCATTAGAATCTTAATTTTCCTAAACTCAGCATGCCTTAACCACCAAAACCCACACTATTCCCACCTTTCCAGTCGAGCGTGTCTGTTCTCATGTTTTTATTCATCGGTGCTTTGTGATGGGAATGGCCAGAAAGCATAATTAACAGAGCTTCTACTTGGAAAGAACCTGGGGGAGAGGCCCTTCTTTTCTTCTACTTAAGAGCCAGGCAAATTTTTCTGGTGGTAATTCCATAATAAAGCCACAAAGGCACCTTTTCTGCCCAGGGAAATCTTGGCTAGACATGCCCCTCTTGTCCCTGATGTGATAAGAAGGGTCCGTAAAAAGCTGGTGGGGAAACACCTAAGTCCAGTGCGGAAAACACCTAGTGCACTTGGGCGAGACCCACGCATCGCTCTCCCTCTCCGCAGCCTGGGGTCCCGCTCTCGCCCTGGACTCCAGCTGTCTTGCCCGACGGGGCAGAGCTGTCCCCTCCCCAAGGCGCCCTTTGTGTGCAGGAGCGCACGTCATCGGGTCCCGTGGATCCAGGCCGCTGCCTCCGGGGGGTGGGGCACACAGCGCCCCGGGGCCCTTTCTCCCTCCCAGCCCCGGGGCCGGGCTGTGTCCCTCTCTCCGTACAGCTCCCCGCCCCGTCCTGCGCCGGCCTCACAGCCGCCCTCCCTCCTCCGTCTCCCGCTGCTGGCTCCGCGCGGACAGCAGGGAGCAGGGGGGCCGCCCCGCTCTCTCCGCGCCCCCGACTCAAGCCGCAGACCCCCGGTACCGGCTGGCCGTTGTTGAGCACGTCCTCCTTGAAGCGCAGCTTCCGCTCCAGGTCCTGGATGACGGCGTCCTTGGTGCCCTGGATGTCCTCCTCGGAGGCCATCCTGGCGGCCCTGCCGGCCTTCCTGGGAAGCCGCCTGCGGGACGAGAGCGCAGGGCGCATTCACCCCGTCAGGTGCGGCACCGCTCCCGTCCACACGCCACGCGGCCTGGCTCCCGGCGGGCAGGAAGGGGCGCCAGCTTCCCGACGTGCAGACACCTTAGCGGGGCTGCCAGGCGCCCACGTGCACGCAGGTCGGGCCCGGGCCTCAGGGCGGGGCGCCAGGCGCGGTGCCATGCCATCGCCGTGGGACCCGGCTCGGCCCTGTGTCACGTACGTGACTTTGACGGGTTCCTTGCTAGTCCTCATAAGCAGGTATGAAAATACATGCTACATATGACTGTTGAGAGGACCCGACAGAGGGTGAAACGCAGTCCTCCGCACCCTCACAGGCTCAGCCTGCCGGTCCTCGCGGTCAGCCCCCGGGGCAGCAGCGCCCAGCCCACTCGGAGCAAACAGCCCAGCCTCCCTCTGCCCCCTCCTCCCTACGGGACTAGCGTGGGCCAGTGGCGCCCAACACATGGTCAGCGGGACCCCTGACGGCCCCGGGCAGCCTCAGGTCCTGCCTGCCTGGCATCCCAAGCCCCAAAACGTCCTGGGGAGCCCGAAGCTCTGAGGAGACATGATGCTTCAGAACCTTCCTCTGCAAGGCCGGCTGTGCCAGGCCACGCAAGCTGGGGCTCACTGGTGGGCACGCCAGATGCCGGGCGGGTGTGGGGCCACGTCTGTGGGTGTCTAAGCAGCCTGCTTCCCCTTTTCCTTCCTAGCCCCTCAGAGGGCTACAGGCAGAGATCAACACACACCAGCGGGGCATGGGACACAGAGACGACCCGCCCCGAATGCAGGGCAGCTGGTCCAGGCTGGAGTGAGGGGTCTGGGTCCCCCTGACTGGATTTCTAAACCATAATGTCAAGTCAAAAAAAGGAAGCTGAAGAACACATACACTGTGCCTCCATTTATGAAAGCTCAACCGTCAGCCACCACGGCAGCGGTGCTCGAGGGCAGTCCTGCACCCACAGCATCTGGGTCCCTGAGAACCTGCTAGAATTGAGGTTTCTGGCTTCACTCCAGACCTACTGAATCAGAAACTCTGGGTTAGGATACAGCATTTGTGTCTCAACAAGCCCTTTAGACACAAGTGTGAGAAACAGACCCAGGGAACCATGCACCTGTAGCTGTGAAGAGTGAGTACCTCAAGCCCAGGGCAGTGGCCCCTCTGGGTCAGAGGGTGGACCTGGCTGCACAGCATCACAGGGGGCTCCCAAAGGGCTGTGGACCGTGAGGCTTCTGAGTCATTATTTGTCTTTGAACGATGCATCTACAAATACACGCTTCCCTATTTCCATATTTTAAGGCAAGACATTTCTAAGTTAAAAACAGGTTTACTGCAGTGTACCAAGGCCTCATGTGCCTGATGTGACCTCACTGACCTGGAAAAGCTGTGGTATGCCAAGGATGGAAATGAGCCCTGGGGCCCCCACTGACCCACCAGTGCTGGGGACCTGGCAGGAGGGAGCCAGGGTGTCCTGGGACAGGGCTGACCCCACCCTCACTGCAGCCCTGTGGGCTCCTGGTCTCCCAACAGCCATCCTTCCTGTCCTTTTCCATTCCTGCCCCTTCCCTTGCTGACCTTCCCCCATCTTCTTGGCTGTTCACCCTTCAATGTGCTTAGACAGGCGAACCTCCCCAAACGCAGGGTGGCTGGTCTAGGCCAGGGTGAGGGGCCTGGGTCCCTGGACAGTGACTGTTTGGCGGAGGCATGTGGATGGAGCCCTGGCCAAGGACACAGGGCTCCTTTAATGGTCTCCCCTTCACCAGCCTCTTCTGCTCATCACAATGCTTGTCAAAGTGCACGCCCCAAATAACAGTCCTGGAATGAATGGATGGATGGCTCTCCATTCACTTCTGCCCTCCGCTTTCCCTCCTCAGGCAAGAAAACCCGTGCCATAGCCGTGTGAAATCAGACCACATGTAACAAGTCAGGCTCAGAACAAGGAATCAGGCGGCTCTGGAAGTAAGTTCTGACTGCCTTTGACTAGAGCCTGTTACACCTGAGAGCCAGAAAAGCTAGGCCTGGACGTCACAGGGAAGGTCAAGTCAAAGACAGCTAGCCTCTGTTCAGCACGTATCACTGGGAACACACGGGCTCCCATTACTACTTTAAACTTGGCAAGTATGCCGGTCGCACACCGACGTGAGGACGAGAGAAGGCAGACGACACGGGGAGCTGGGCTCTCTGCACAGCAGGGATGGAGAGGCAGCAGGGCGACAGTGGACGAACAGATCACGGGCAAGAAAGCAGAGGACTCTAAAGACACAGCCTGAGTCTCTTGAACAAGCTCGACACCTGCCTACTCCCTGCAGAGTTCAGGCTTAAAAAACGTTTGTAAACTGGACTCCGAGTGGACCCGAGTTCAGCTGCTCCGGGGTCATTCACCTTGGTTTGGATTCTTGCCATCCAGGTATTTATTGTTTCAAAGAGAACAATTAAAATTACACTTCGACCCAAATAAAAACTCTGATCCTCTTACATTTCTTATAATAAGCCAATTCTTTAAACATATCAAGATCACTACCATTAGAAGGGCATTTACTTCATGCCAAATTCCCCCTATTTTTAATGCATTATTTTTGGTAGATTACAGAATTTAATGTACACATATTTTCTTAGTTCTGAAAAATTACCCCTGAAGTAAAAATCAATCAATGGAAAGATTATTAAATGTCTAACAGTTACTGTACAAATATTTCTTGAGCATTCAGCCAAGGCACAATGCTAGGCAGGGACATCAGTTCAACTCTGTTAAGCTTGTAACACAACAGTTGGTCTGTGAGGTAAGCGACTATTGCCTGAGGACATCTGGAATTCTGTGCACTAGACATTCTATGCATAAAAAGGAAAATACACAATAAAACAAAGGTTCCATCACTATAGTCTTAACGCTATACTGTTGTGTGACATGGAGACGACAGCCACACCCTAAAGGATAGTTCTTGGCACAAGAAACGATTTGGGGAATGAATTAAGGAACACACTCCGTGGTCGTGATTCTGGGTGCAATGGGGATAAAGGAGACCAGAAGACACTGCGGGCTGGAAGGGCGGCAGAGGCCCCCAGGAAGAGGCACTGGCAGCCCCGGAGGCGATGGGGGTGGAGGATGCAGGCGGGGGGCAGGAAGGAATTCAGAGCCAACACTGACTAAAGCGCAGGGCTCAAGACCTCACTCCCGCCACCGAGAAGATGCGCGGCTTCAGCTGGTCGCCTGACAGTCTGCCTCAGATTCCTCCTCCGAAGAGTGGGGAGTGCGGATGGTAGCAGCGAATATCTCACAGGATCACTAAGAAAATTACATGAGCAAATGCCTGGTAGAGTGAGAGTGGCCTGGAGAGGCCAAGAGAAGCCACGCAGCCTGGGGGAGCCACAGACAGGAGACCGGCGAGGGGAACAGAGTGAAAGAGGGAAAAGGGTTAAAATAGATGCCAAGAATTCTTGACGGGAGTTCCCAAGAATGTGCCAAAAACCTTTAATGACTGGCTTTTCAGCACTCAGCTCTGTTCCTGGGCTGAGCAACCTGACCTAGGAAACAAGCCCCACGGACTCCCATCCTCAGCCTGCTGTGCTGGACGCTGCAGCGCCGTTCACGCCGTGTCACAGTCCCTGCGCAGCTAGAAGTGATATTCATGTGGCTGGGGGTCAAAACATCTCAGGACATACACACACACATCTGGAAAAATCTTCCAGATTTAACCACCACCAAATCCCAGGAGATTCTTCTTCTTGAAGCCTCCTTCCTTTGAGAGGCTACTCTAGGTCCGTTCTGTCAGTGTATTCCAGAAACTGGAATCTCCAGAGAACAGCATTGATGAAAGAGGTCAGGTACCTGTCTAGCAACCAGAGAATTTCTTTAAATTCCTATAAGTCCTCTTTTTCTCCTCTTCTTATATTCAGTGGTAGCTACTCGTAACGAAATTCCACAAAATCCTAGAGAGCAGAATCATCAACATACTGGCATTTAGGTATCCCTCATATTCAAGAATGTAATCTATGGATTACTTTATACAAGAGCCCAAGATACACAAACTCAGTTTTTTTTAGCTGAATTTCACTATGAAGCCAAAGCTGTTAAGTACCAGGGGGCCCTTCAGAGAGAACAGGTAACTTCCACGAGTGTCACACTCTCTTCACACACAGCTGTGCCCACTGCATCAGCTCGTCCTGAGCAGCTCCCGGGGCACTGATTTCAACAGAATCTCCGTCAGCAGCGCAGACCCCAGGCCTCTCCTGCAGATCTGCAGAGAAGCATCTGCCCAGGACTGGACATGACTGCGCGGAATCCTCTAAGACCCTGGACCTTATGAGGCCCATGACCAGAGCCTGGCGAAGCCCCCATCCCTCCAGGCCTCTGCCTCCAAGTGGAAACCAGGCCGCCACTCACTGGCTTCCTGCAGGACAGAGACAGTGAGACTATGTTTGCCAAGCCCAGAGCAGCTTTTGTCTTTTCTATACTCAGGGGGTGAAAACTGTCTAAAGTACAACTAAATCTGTTACAGACTTTTCCCTAAGACTCAGGGTTTCGTTTTGTTGGTTTGATATAATTGGTTATAAGAATTACATATTTGGTCATTCATATGACCAAATGCATAGTCCCCAGGTATATTTAGTGTTCATCCACAGTTCCTGAAAACACTGCAGAGCCTTCAAGGTGAAACAGATGTCCTGTCATGTTAATGAGAGACTTTTGGACCCACCCAAGGGCGGGGGCTGGAGGCTGAACCAGCCGGTGGCCAAAGATTTAGTCAGTCCTGACTGTGCAAGGAAGCGCTCACAAACCTGTACGAAGGGCCCGCTTGCGCTCCCTCTCTTGGCCCTGCCTGCCCTGCTTGGCTGGATCCTGCTTCTCGGTCGGAGGGAGCTTCCGAGCTTGGGGAACCAGACGCCTCCCCGGACCACCGAGCCAGGCCCCAAGTCCGAGGACGGAAGCTCCAGTATCTGGGACCCTGCCCCGTGTCTCTCTTCATCTGGCTGCTCACTTGTCCTTTATTAAACTGGTGAACCTAAGTGATTTCCTGAGTTCTGTGAGCCACTCTAGCAAATTAACTGAACCTGAAGGGGAAGTCATAGGAGCCCCCAGTCTGCAGCTAGTAGGTCAGAAGCACAGGGAACTGCCTGGGGGGCTGCCAAATGGTGTCTGGAGTGGGGGGTGGAGGGCAGCCCTGTAGGACGGAGCCCTTCCCTGGGAATCTGGTGCCCTCCCCGGGGAGAGAGCGTCCACACTGAGCTGAGTTCTCCAGCATCCTGCTGGTGTTGGGAGAATCGCTGGTGTAGGTATGTGTGGAAGACCCCTCCCACATACTTACACAGACTGGAATCGCGTCAGGGTACCGAAAGGAAGTTTACTATTATTACTGCTGTGTGTAATATTATTGTTATAAACATATATGATATATCTGTATATCATATTTGGTCCGCGGCAGTTCTCTTTAATCAAGAAATACCATATGTCAGATTTATCAGAGATCCCCAAGACTGAGTCACGCTGTTCCCTCCCTGCTCAGGTTTCTTCCAGACCCTGGGAAATCCCTTCACCTCTTGGTGCTTCCATCCTTGAGGGTGGAATGATGACAGTGTCTCCACCTACCTGTTTCTCATAAATCAAGGAGAAAGAGAGAGACTGAGATAAGGTCTGTAAGACCTAAGCCTACAGAACAAAGACTCTTATTAACACATCCATATAAAAGCTCTCATTGACAAACACAGGGTAAAGCGACAGCCCTACTTACATAAAAGAGGCAATTCAAAGTATAAACCACTGTAACAGGTGGCTATACAGCACTCCCTTGGGAGAACAGATCACAAAAAAATGCAGTGCCAATCACACCAGTCTTGTTTTCAAGGGTGATCCGACCTGATCCACCCTGAGACCTGGTAGAGCTGCTCCGAGACTGCATTGCTGCGTCATCAAGAGGGGGGCAATCCCAGACCCTCGGGATTCCCACCGTCCAAGGGCTGACTTACTCTGTAGAAGACAGGGTTCTAGCACTGGGCGCTGTAAAGCCAGCCACAGGCGGTGGCAAGGGAATGGGGTACATCAGTTTCATCCAAGTGCAAACAGCTTTCTTTCTAAGCCATCTTCTCCTCACTGCCTCCTTCTGAAAGATTTCCTATTTTGTATTGTAGTTTGATAAAGATTTTGACATCTGTATCTGTGAACAGCTTTGAGAAGGGTGATATTCTCTCTGCTAGTGACCCTAGTACCCTTGGGGCAGTGTAGCCATCTGAAAAAAGTAAGGCAGCAGATCGCCAAACCACAGCGATTGGCAGCCGAATGCGGGAGGCTGAGCGGCCCTGCCTGCCTTGGGGTTTATCACTGGCATCCATAGCTTGTCTCCTTCCCAGATACAAGAGAAACAGAGCCTCATCTCCACAGACTCTTTAGAGATTCAGTATGCAACCGACCTATTCTTCTCGGTACTAAAACAAGGATAATGGTAAACACACACACAGAATAAAACAGCCATGTAACTGGTGATTAAGAAAACAGATATCTGAAATTTATATTAAGAATCTGGTAAAACAAAGCAGGCTAATGTATTTTTAAAGATCTAATGTATTTCTGCTTCACCAAGTCATGTATGATTCAACCTATTTACTGGCACTTGACATAATGGCAAACTGTCCAGCCAGGAAAATAACACCTGTCAGTGAAACTGAATCTGCTGTCCTAACGCAAGTTGCCAGTGAAACAGAAATGAAAGTAATGGAAGAAATTCGTCGGACAAGTGTCGGCAGTTCCTACCGAGTCGGAGGATGCCCGCTGCGGCAGCCCTGACAGCGGCTTCGGCAAATTGTTTGGATGATGGTGGCAAGTAGCTACCTTCCGTCTGTAATTCAGAATGAGGGGCCCCACAATCCGCCAGAGGAAAAACTTTCAAAATTCACGTGTCTGATCAAAAGAATGAATTCCTCAAGGGTTCGTGATTTAGCGAAAGGAAAACTGGAAGACAGGCAACGTCCCGCCGCGGGTCGAGCTGCGCGGAGCCTGGTCCCGGGCCCGGGCGGCGGTTCTCCCACCCTGCGGCGCCCGCCTGCCCGCAAAACGGGAACTTCTCCACTCACTGTTTCTAAATGCCAAGAGCCGCTGGATTCTTTTGCGGTAACAACTGTGGAATACTTGGACTCCATAAAAACGAGTGCCTGTGAGGGCCGCTCATAGAAAGCTCAGGGAAGCTCTCAAAACTGTGTCTTCTTCAGATTCTCAGAGTCAAAGATCAGAACGAACCACCGCTCCTGCTTAAGACGGTGGGCGGTGCGACTCCCGGGGCCCACGCAGGCCGTCTCTGGTCACATTTCATGAGAAACGTGGCCTTAGTGACAGAGCGCCTGTCTCCCGGGGACCCACAGGGAGCGCAGGGAAGTGTCACCGACCCACTCCCCCCCTTTGAGTCCCTCGGACCGCCGGCCTCTCTGGGGCAAGCTGTCCATCTCCGGGCGGCCACAGGACAGCAGGGAGAAGGGCTGGTTCTCCCAGGCGAGTCCACTGCCTCCTCCCTGAACGGCCTGTCACCCCACCACCCGCTGTAACTCCACAGACTCGCCCCCTTTCTTCGACTGACCGACATTTTCATCCGAGCTGTTGCCAATAGATTTGAGAAGTCGGACTTCAAACGCAGAATTCCTGCAATCAACATGTATTGCATGCCCACTTGCACAAAGGCTTTGCTAGCTAACGCTCCTTGACACGCCCTGTCCAGCAGCGGCGCTGACCCCTTAGCTGGCGGCGGCGCACGCCAGACCGCGAAACTTTTTCACAGGACTCAACATAACCTGAATTCTAAGGTCTTCTCATTTGTTTCTGAATACGGTTCGTTTCTTTTCTCTCCGAGCGGCGCCGGCAGACTCTGCGGGCAGGACCTGAGCTCCCCGCGGGGCCGGGAGCAGCTCGCCCTGCGCCCGCACCTGCTCCCGGCCGGCGTGCGGGCTCCCCGGGGGCCTCCCCTCACGCGCCCCCAGGTTTCCCGGGGGCCCAGCTGCGCGTGCACACGGCTCGCCAGCTCAGCGCCCGGCACCTCGCCACCAGCACACGCGCACTGAGCACCGAGCTCGCGGCTCCCGGGACCGCCAGGGGCCGCCCGAAACGCCGCGCCACGGAACGCGCGCCACGAGCTGGGGTTGGGACGCGGGGACGCGCACGCTCGGCACGAGCGGCTCCGGCGCAGGGCCGAGAGGGGATGACGTAGGCAGCCCCGAGGAAACGGGGGCGGGGCCCGGATGCGCCGTGGCGGGGCGCGCGCCTGTCACTCACGCGGGGGTGACGCTGCGGGGCAGGCCCAGGGCGTTGACGGGAGGCGGCGGCGGCGGCGGCGGCGACGGCAGCAGGGCGCTGAGGAAGGCGGCGGGCGTCTGGCCGGGGCGGGCGGCGTTGGCGCTCGGGAGCGGCGGCGGCGGCGGCGGGAACGCGTCGGGCCCCTGGAACGCAGCCGTGGGGCTGAGCGGCGGCGGCGGCGGCGGTGGCGACGGCGAGGACGGGCACCACGGGGCGTCGGCGTCGGCTCCGCAGTCGCGGGCGCAGCGCCAGGGCGCGGGGGTCGTGGGCGACGTCGGGGTCGTCGGGGTCATGGGCGGCGTGGGGGTCGCGGGGCCCAGGTTCTGCGCGGCGATGAACTGCTTGGGCCGCGCGTACTTGAAGGCGCCCGACGGCTGCGGAGCGGCCGCGGCGCGGGGGGCGAGCGCGCTCATGGGCGCGGCGGACGGCGGGGCGGCGGCGCCCGCCTCCTGGTCCCGGCGCGCGCGGTCCTGCAGGAGCTGCAGCGTCAGCGGGTCCCTGTGGGGAGAGAGAGAGGACAGCTGGCTGAACGCGGGCCGGCGGCGCCCCACCGCTGCGCCTCCGCCCGCGGCGGCGACCCTGGCGGGATGGGACCCGGGACGGGGCTCAGCCTCGTCCGTAGCCAGCTTTTTGAGGAAGTCAAACGAAAACACGATTTAAGGTATTTTTGCCAGATTTAGGTTCGTCCAAACTGCCTGTTTCAGTGCTGTCAACTCTGCAATCAAGAAATACCACAGGCTAGCTTTGGGGGGAAGATCCACTTTCTGAATTGTTCCCCAAAAACAGATACAAAATATTCTATACCCACAGTTTTGGTAGTAAAGCCTGCATTGCCGATTACTTATACAAACCTTAATACATACTAATATATTGCGGCATATCTAAACACATGCAAATGACATTTTAACATGTAGTCAGTCAACCTTGTCAATTTTGATTCAAGTATTTTCCATCTAGAAGATTGAATTTAAATTTTTGAAGAGGAAGTTAGTAATTAGCTAGCAATTACATAAAATCTTACTCTATTTTACAGAAGCTTTCCTGTTTAGCTGAATTTTACATCTTTTTCCTTTCTTCATCTGATAGTAACCAATAGCTGTCAAAATAAACTTCAACAGAAGATGGCACTATAACAAGCAATTAAAACAGGAACAAATCCCTGGAGAGCCAAAGCAATGCTAAACCTTTTAAAACTAAAAGACAAAAATCCCAAAACTTCCTATCCAAACATATTCAATCTTCAAAATCAAGCTTTCAGAACTCAATGCAGTAGAAGGATTTAAAGCTGCTGAAAAAAGTTAAAAGATTTAGATCTGTTAACAGTATCATTAAATGTGGGAATATCAGCAAAGCAGTCGTAAATTCCTTCCCAGTGTCTTCTATTCCCTTCTGTAATCATACAGTAAAGTGATTACACTTAAATCTGTAAAAAGAGCAACAAACACCTTCTTGGGAACTGAAGAGAGTAGTCAGATAGTTCTATATGCCTGATCTGTGCAGAGCATCGATCAAGAGCTCGGGGGACCGTGGCACTTAATTTCAGTGTTTTCAGAGCAGCCAGGCCCCTGCTGGGCTCACCAGATTCAGGCTGCAGGCGTCTGGGGTTTGGGTCAACTCTCCAGCACATGTCTTCCCGCTTTCATGTACTTAGAACTGGTCCAGCAATAGAACCCGTAAAAACCACCCTCCAGCTCTGACCCTGTCACCCACCATTCTCGTTCTGAATCCCCAAATGTTCCTTTCTGATGTCCCTGCCTTTTCTCTCTCTTTCTCATGGCCTGGCTATGGCAAAATGTATCCTATTCCTGGAATCACCACCGACATTCAGCCGACCAGTGCACCAGCCCAAGTGATCTGTCTGGCCTTCCTCAAAGGAGCTGCTGCCGAACTGCGGGCCACAGCTGGTCTGAGGATTTCTCTGCCCCAGGAACAGGCTGTGGCTCCTGAGAAGCCAGTCTCTGAAGCCAGGGCAGGAATGCCCAGAGCACCACTTTCTTGGCTCCGACTTTCTGCATGGGATCAAGCCTGCTCACCCAGCCATTACAGGGAGCACCAAGTCTGCTGACTCAAGTGGGCTTAAAGCTGCCGAGGGCTGCTTTTAGTAATAAGTTCAAGAAATTGTTAATGTAGCACTTCACAAGTAATGAAGAGGCATTAGGGTGATTTGGTTCCTAGGATATACTCTGATGAAGAACTTCTGTCCTTCTCTGAAAATGAAAATGAATTTAACTCCTGGGAAATACTGTGTAAAGTTTGAAAAGTTAGGTAAATATTGAGAGTTCTAGACAGCCCTAGTCCCAAGTACAACACTTTGTGTGTACATCATTAAAGTCCGTTAGTCTTCAGTTTCACACTACTCTCCCCACCTCACTCCCAGCTCAAAACGTCTCAGAAATTCCCTCTTACCCCCTCCTTCAGTTCTAAAGGTTTCAATACGTAAGAAAATGAGACGTCTATGACCTTTTGTTATGTAACTGTCAACCCATTTACAAATGAGGAAAATTTCAGTAACTTGTTCAAGGTCACAGAGCAAGTTACCGGCAGAGCCTAGTTAGACCTGTGTCTGTTCCTGGCAACTTGCATTACACAGGCATGTCACCACAGAAGAACCTGATCTTCAAAGAGATTTTTTAAAAATCTGTGGCCGTATTTCCCTCCTAAGGACTGTGTTCACTCATATGCCTCCTTGCAGCCCTCCCATCCGGGGCCTTTAGATCTGAATCATCAGTCAAGGTTTTAAGTATTTACATATGTAAGACGATCTGAATTCAGACTTGATTCTTTTTAGAGAGAAATGGTGCAAAGATGAGAGGTTCCTGGCAGCTCAGGAACATGTAAGTACTGACCTCATGGATTCCCCTCCTACATCACCAAACATCAGGAGCTCCCCCCTGGTTTGGACACAGCTCTTAACAAGAACAGTTTTACAGATGGCTGGATGGGACAAACATTTAGATTTGAAAGGGGTAAATGGAGCAGCAGAAACCAATTTACTTCCAATGCAGTAATCTCTCCTGCTAAGGGATTAGAGCAGCCTTGGAAAAAGTGACCAGCCAAGCGGCAGTGTGCTACAGGAGAAAAAGATCACACAGTACAGCCCTGGGCTGGAGCCCAGCTCTGCCAGCTGCTGACTGTGGGTCACTTTGAGGACTATGTGAGCACAGTATGACTCAGGAAATGCTCCGCAGCTGAACCACCACATCAGTCCTTGGTCCTCTTCAAATCAGAGACGATGTCCGACTTACAGCAAGTTTTGGGCTTTTCCTCCTACCTGTTCCCACTGCGAGGAGTGGCCCTTCCTATACTCACAAAGCCAGGGCAGGGGAGGGAGAGGAGGGGCAGCTCCAAGCCGGTGCCTGGCCCTGGGCTGACTCAGCTACCACACCCTGGTGGGCGGCGGGTTTCACCATCTCCCTGTAAAATTCCCCACAGGTTGTGTGGTCGGCTAGAAAGCCTTGTGCTACATCATCCTCTCCAAAGTGCTTAGCAGACAAAAAAGGTTTATTAAAATGTTAGTTATTACATACCACTTTTTCTCTGAGGGACTGCCACCCAAGCTCAAAATAAGATGTGAAAGTAAACTTCTGGAAAATAACTTTTATGTAAATTGGAAATTCCCACTACATCTCTCTGGGGCACCATCTGGATTGTAAAAAAGTAATTTATTCACTGCTTATACAATAGAGTATTTATAATTGTCTTGAGAAACTTGGGATCGTGAAGCTGGAAAACATTTGTGACTTCAGAATAAATTTGCTGTTGGTTTACATACGTTAGTATGAGACGGAAGCCCTTGTATGATGAAGAGTTGTGATTCTGTGCCCTCTGACCCATGCTCCCTGGTCCTGCTGTTTACAAGCACTCTGAAGGCAGGGCTGTGAGTCAGCACCCTCAGCACCCAACACACCACCACTACTATGGCAGACACGTTCCTGTCAATGACGACGACCGCGACATTGCTTTCTGGCTGCAGTGTCCATACCCTGCTGGGTTCCTCAGGGATACTCCGCAGGCAGGACTCCAGAAGGAGGGGCCCACCCTGGCCTGGGGGACTGTAAGAATTTCCTGATGAAGGTAGGTAAGTAAATTAGGGGGTACACTGCTGGACGTTCCCACAGCATCCTTCTCTCTGGCTGCGATTAACACAGGATCAGGTGTATGAGAGAGCTCGACATACTGATTGCGGAATTTATAGATGGAATATGAAATTCCTCCTGGGCTCTGGCCAGGGAGTATTGACTAAGCTCCATCTCTGAATCTGCATATTGGTACTTCAAAGTTGTTCTTGTTCAATTACTCATGCTTCAATTTGTCTTCCTCTCAGAGAAACGAGATCCGCTCAATGAGGGTCAATATCCAACAACTTGCTCTGTTTGGCACGGACTTCCTGCCCCCTTGGTAAAAGGCATAAAATCACAATCCTGAGAACAATCATTTACACCATAAAAATTAGTTAATGTAAGCCAAATGAGAATGTATTGCATGGTTTTGTGGGAGGTTATAAGTGCAAAAACAACTACTAATTTAAATACCATCTCCCTAAGGTTGGGGGAGAGGGCAGGGATAAAGATTTGGGATTTTCCACAAAGCACCATAAACAAGAGAATGTTAAAATCAAACTGACGACTGCTTGGGAATGTGTGTGTCACATGTACAGCAAAATGACATAGGTTTCTGAATAAAAGCCCCATTCTTTGATCTTCAGTTCCCTCTGAGCCTTTCATGAATCACACTGACTCCCTGGATGGAGCCAGGACTGAACACAGTGATGTAGGAAGGTTCAAGGAAGAAGTGACCTCGTCGCAGCAGCACAAAGTCTGTTAGGACGACTCATCCTTCCCACTTACAATCAGATCTGACTTGGCTCTGCTGCAGAAACACAGTAGCTCTGTCTTAATGCATGAAGTCGATCTCTATTTGAAGTCACCCGCTGTGCTCTGAGCAAGACAGGGAGCAACTGCTGACCGATTCATAATCCTCCTGGGACCGCCTCTGGAGCATCACAGGATCGCTCTGTCCCTCCTGTAGCTCGGGGAACAGGCCTGAGAGGTCGGGAGGTGCTGATTTGATGAGGGTCGACACCAACCCAAGCCAGGCCTTAGAACCTGAGTCCCAAAGCTGGTCTCCCCGATGCAGAGAATGGTCCACTGGGAGGTCCATGGAGACCCGGCTCTCCGGGAGGCAAACGATCACTTGGCTTGTGAAGGCTGCGTGCTGAGGTCCCCACGAAGCCGTACCCAGGCACAGACTGTACGTGGCTGGTGTCTGCCGTCGGGATCTCTAAGCTTGAAGGGTCTGGTGAGGAGCTTGGTCTCAGCCTTGGCCTTTTTTGCAGGGAGGAATGTAAGGTCAGGCTCTGTAAGCATCAACTCCACATCAGTTAAATGCCTTAAATAATTCTCATTTCTGTTGCTGTGCAGGGCAATGACAACAGCAGGAAGATATTAGCTACTGATTCTTATAAAAACAATGCTCAGTGGACACTAAAAGAATATGGGCTGCTCCCAACTGAAAATGTTTGGTATTAATTCTTGACAAAGTACATGTTTGAAGAAAAAAAATCTGTTTTCCAACCCTTTTTGTCAATGCTGGAGGCAAATTCAGTGATCTCATTTCTAACTGAGGCACCAAAGAGCAGCTCCCTGTGAGAGGGGGCTGAAGGACCTTCAAGTCTTCCGCATGGCATTTTTCCAAGGTTTTAAAGAACAGGTGAAAAAGATGGACCTGTAATTTGACTTTTTTTGGTCTTCCAATGAAACAGAGGTCTTGGCATATTTTAAGATTTCCTATGATAAATGTGTCCTCAAATTTCAATGTTATCATTGGGAGACTTGAGCCTTCCCTGCTGGGTTATTTCCGTTAGTTTATGTTTGCTGAACTGAATCTATCTAAAATGGGGGTGCAATTTGTAGTCATAAGAATGAATTATTACTAAGGGCAAAGTGTCGTATCTTTCAAAAGAAATACCCATTGCCTACCCACCACATGGCTTTATTTCCCCTAAGAGGACCAGTAGTCATTCTCTCACTTCTTTGCCCCTCCTAACATTTTATCTCCCAATATCCCCCTCTCTCCTCACACGTATATTTTCTGAGTTTAATGAATCCCCAGATTTCTTAAAGCACAGAACTTGGGGCTCCCTCAGCTCTCTGGCATTCAGGAACGCAGGCTTCTTTTTTCTCAGGGATACAGATTTTGCAGCTAAAGCCTCTATCACCAGGTTATTTACAGGTGAGAACAAAGTCAGCCACACAAAGAAATGTTCAAATGGGTCAGCTACAGTTCGGCCACTAGCTAATTCACTTCTCTATGGGGCCCAGTTCCTCAACTTTAAAATAGAAATGTATAATGTAATCTCTGTACGGTCCTAATAAGCTTTTAGAGTTTATGACTCTTAATCTTTAACCCAGTAACATTTAAACATTATAAAGAACTACCTGTAAAGGAGCTTGTAAACAGCTAACCGTGTCCAAGTGTAGTGCACCTTCGCAAACAAATATGACCCTTATGCATATGCTGTCTCATATCCATTTCAACTGTTTTAAAAATAATGTCATTTTTTTGATAAATAGAAATAGATTTTAAATTAAAAATAGAAATAATAAATGGAAATAGCTTAGAAGACAAACTGAAATATTCCACAGTAAATTTCTTTATGAAAGGATATATTATACTGTGAGAAATCATCACCTAATCGGTTAACCTCAGCTGTGTCCACCTGTAGACACACCACACAGATAAACTCAGTCCATAACTGAGCGGCAGTGGCTGTGGGCGCCGCAGTCTCACGGCGGTCCTGGTGGGGGCTGGGCTGCACGTGGCTCTTCCTCGAAGAGCTGTGACCTGTCAGCGGCTCAGTAGCCTCTCTTCTGTCAACTCCGGTCCCCACAGGGATGCTAGTCCCTCCTGTGGTGCTTGGCCCTCTGCCCGTGGCCTCCCACCCCAGGGCGCCACCCCCACGTGCCCTGGCTCCCTGCCTGTCTGCACCCTGGCCTGTGGGCCCTCACCCCCAGTCCCTACACTTCTTTGCTCCCAGACATCACCACCTCTTCACCTCTCATGTGGCAGGTCTGGCGCACAGCCTCCTCCACCCCCAGCTGGTTTCTCCTCTGGTCTCATGTTGAGTCCCCCAGTTTGGCCCCAAACCATCCTAACTCCTTATCTTCAACCATTGTGTGTCCGCCTGTTTCTTCAAATCAGGCTGGGTGTCCCTAGCTTTGGCCTTTTCCTGGCACTGAGTCACCTTTTGTGCCATCCCGCGCCTGCCCCTTCTCCAGGCCCTCCCTCGTTATATCTGGAGGGTCTCTCCCTCCACCAAATTGGTCTGGCCCACGAGGCCCTGTGGGGGTCTGGCAGTGACATCCCATCTCACACGACAAGCCAGCTCTCTGGAGCCAGGCGGTGGTGGCTGTGTTCTCTTGGAGACGACACAGTGCTCTGAACAGAGATGTCACTGAACACCCGTGAAAAGGCTGCCAGGCACCCTCCGGTGCAGAATGTTCCCAGGGAAGCCATCAGAGCTCTTATAGGGCAGCACTTACAGCTCCAGCTTTTAATTGTCCAAACCCTGAAGCTCCCCTCCCTGAACTGTATGTGAACCTGGTGGTGCCCCCCCATGCCCCGGGCTCTGGTAGGCTGCACAGTGCCCACTTTCCACTTTATTTGGTTACTAGTCAAAAATGCCTCTAGTTTATGTTTACCTGGAGGAAAGGGCCTCAGGGAAGTTTTCTGTGCACGTGAGAACTTCCGTTATCTCTAGCAGTTCCTTCCTTTAGAGGCCCATTCTTACATCACTGCAGCGTTCTCCAGCCAGTTTGTCCGAGCACAGACTGTGTCCTGAGATAGCAGAGGTGGGCCCCACCCTGAGCAGGCAGTGGTTCCCTGTGTGCCCCGAAAAGCCCTGCATTACTAACAAGGCTGCAGCGAAGGCCTGCTGGGGGCTGGCACCCGAGGCACTCAGGTCTGCCTTGACACCAGGCTGCTGTCTGCACTTGCTTTCAAGTGTTGTGGAAGCACTGCAGGAGCTCCCTGTGGCTGCGACCACGTTAGGGCATGAGCAGGTGGAAGACAGGCTTTATCTCTGGAAGGAGGGCAAGGACACTGGTTGGTAATATGGCAGAAAGATTCACAAATCAAATGATGACTCATTAGCAGGTGAAGAACTGGATGCACTCCTTCTTAAATCACATTTCCTGAAACAAGAGGAACGGACACCTGTCCATACAGCTCCCTTTGCTGGTAAAAGCACTGCCCGCTCCTCTAGGCCCCATGTCTACTCTACTCCTGCGGGCCTGCGTGAGACCCTGGATCAGCATTCACGTATGGCTTCAGCAGGTCATTCAGGTTTAAGTACAGGGGCCAGGCCAGGCTGGGCAGGATCTGTCCATCCTGCAGGTGGAAGGGCAGTGTGTCTTGCTGCCCTCGGACAGCATCCCTCATGGTTGCCAGCTGCCATGGGAGAGCCTGCAGACAGGAAGCCAACACATGCAAAGATGCCGTGGTCGAGAGATGAAGACAGAGAGAGACAGACTGGGATGCGATCTCTGCACCTGGATCCAGATGACCCTCCGGCCAGTTTTATCTCTGACTTCTCTGTACACATGCACCCCCAGACATTTTTTTTTTTTTTTTTTTTGCATAAGTTGGTTCAGATGCTCTCTCACTTTCAGAAAGTGGCCTCAGAGACAAGCCAGCCTAACTTCCCTATTTTACAGATATGGAAATAGAAACAGATTAAGTAACTGCACAAAGTCATTGGCTACTTAGTGCCAAAGGCCTGACAGGAGCATCTTGGGGCAGAACATTAAACATTCGTCCAATAGCACTGCTGGAAGATGAGCCAATAAATGAACCAGTAAACGCACATGTGCACTGCTCAGAGCTGTGAAAGAATCCATCAGAAAGACTAACAACAAAGGGCTGAAAGTGTCTATCTTCAGAGAGTAACACTGGAAGGAGGTGGACAGGACTATTATTTCTGCACCATACCGTCTTCTCTACCTGTAGTTTGAATACTTTTTAACCTTCTACATATAAAAAAATTAATGTTTGAAATATGTAAAATTCTGAGAACATGTAATTCTTAATGCATAAAATTCCAGAAGCTTACATGTAAAGAAGTCACATCATGAAAGAAGACATAGTGTTACTGTCTTAGCAGCTAGAGTTTAGAAGCCTGAGAACATCCCTTCCTGTGTCTGAAGTCCCCAGAAGCCCTCCTCTGAAGACTCTAACCGTGACCATCACACCACCATTGGCGGCAGCACCTACTGTGGCCACCGATGGCAGCAGCTGACTCGCCAAACCCTCTGATAGTGCTTCATCTGCATTAACTCATCTGATCTTTAGGAAAACACCAGGGCATGGGCCATTTTTATTATCTCCATTTTACAGATGATGAAACTGAGGCTCAAAGGTATACACGAGTTGCTCAAGGTCACCCAGCTGGAAACAGTGTGCCCAGGCTGGCGCTGGCGGCTGTGCGTGGCCTCCCCCAAGGCAGCAGGGCACGCGTGGCGTTTGCAAGTGCCCTGGCTGCCCCCACCACAAAGGCCTTCCTTATGTGGGCCCCACTCAAGACTGGCTCTAACTGTGTCGCTCCTGTCCCCTATGTCTCTCCCATACAGACAGCCTGGCTGCTCCTGAAGGCATTTCGTAGGCATGATTTCAGGAGGGTAATGCTTATGTCCAACAGGCTTG